CGCAAAAGTCCAAATGAAAAGGTTCAGTTGTACTTCGTCAATGCTTACCTTGTAAAAGACAACCAAATAAAAGTAACAGTCTTGACAAAGTGCCAGTACCACCCGCAGCTTAAAATGGAACTTGGAGAAGCCGAGCCTCTCGATATGATATTACATCCTTTCGAAAAGTGCCCAAACACCTTCATGCCAAGGTATGAGACAGATAAGCGCTAGAATAAATTTTGCTTTCCTTCTGAAAACCTTTCTTTATCTTTCTTTTCCAGGTACAGGTTAAATATATACTTCACGTTTATGTGAATTGCTTTTTGCTTTTTGTTTACCATAAAAGATATGAGCAATCCTATCTCAGTTAAGGCTTTATAAAAGCCATTTTCATATTTATTTTCAAGCGGAATTGATTTAAAAAAGCATGGAAGAATAAAGTCAAACCATCAAAATGCACCCACATTTGAATGTTTTCTTAACTTTTTTTTCACAACACCAGCGAACCTTCTGTGAATTAATTAAGAAATTGCTTAAGGTTACTAACAAGGATTTCCTATTTTACTTCTCTAGCATTCAGCTTCTAAAAATTAGATACGCTGCAAAAAGCACAAAGTTTCTTCCGGGACTGTCTAGTTTTATGTAAAAGTGGCGTAACCAAACCCACTGGTGAACGTTTTCCGTCCCAAAGTTTTTACAGTTCAACACAGAATAGTTTTTTAGAGCATTATGAAACTGCTTATTTTTCATTTCAAGCTTCAGGAAGAAACAGCACTTAAGAAGCTCTATACTAATTACCTCTTCCATCCTTGTTTATTGCTTGCCACCAACTGTACTTATATACGATTCACTCCACAAAACCGCATACCTTTTTGTCTGACAACTCCAATTCTGAAATTGCCAAAAAATAGAAAATCGTCAAACTCTTTGCTTTCCGACGTTGTGAAGTAAAATGGTACAATCTAAAAGTGGCAAAACTTGCGTTTTTTGGCCAAACACTATGCGCGTAAAATAAAATAAAATTGAAACTTTTAAAAACGAATTAACAAAAGGGTTTGAGAAGACGGTTGAACACAACGTATAATATGATATCAAACAGTTTATAACAACCTTCACTAGCGGTATACTAATAATTTTCAATGGTACTCCATCAAGCTAATTAAAGCACTATGCTTGCTTCCGGTTTTCTTTTTTTTTTTTTCAACATAAAAAAATATACCTCATGCCGCTCTACCAATAATCTTTCGTAGCACTTAATTTGGAAAAAACAGGTCTCAAAAAGTGAAAATATTACGGAAGAAACACTAGCAGTCTAGCAGAAACAAAACTAAGACAACTAACAAATATTCCACCCAAAAAATTACAGGTGTTCATACAACGGACAATATGGAATTGTGAACAATCTCAACTACTCGCAGATTGCAAAGCTTATGAAACGAAAAGAAAAACTGCATGTCTTCTATCCTGATCAACCTCAGCACAAAGTATCGCTGAATTTGATCGACTCTAGAGTGGGGACGCCTCAACACAGACTAGCTGTTTGTCCACCTCCACTTTCGCAATTTGCTGTATGGGCCATTTTGCCGAGATTTTTTGAGGTCCGTACCAAGTAACCATTTACTTTTCAAAAATACTTGCACAACAAGCGTAAGA